TCAGATCCTAAACCTGTATTTTTAAAAATTAAAATATTCTTTTCTTAGTGTGATTTTAGAATCAGTGCCCCTTCTCACTACCCTTCCAGAAAAATCACAGCTTCTGCAGCGAGTCTATGCCTGGATGACAATTAACCCACAAAATTGCAAGAAGATGCCCCCTCCCCTCACTCTTGCTGAACCATGGGTATCAGGACCGGCCTGTTCCTCTAAGAATATAGAATTAACACCTTTCATCTAACAACTGTTTCTGTTCTGGAGAATAATACAGGCTCTTTCTGGCAGTTTGGCTTCTCTCCAGGAAGAAGGCTTGGTGAGGTAGAGCGAACATATGGTGTCTACATTCAGAGGGATCTGGGTTTAATCCTCTCTTTGCTATACTCTGCTAACTTTGTCTCTCTTTTTTTTACATTAAAAAATATTCATTACAAAAATAATTCAAACAATTCATAAATATATAAAGTACAACATGGAAGGTCTTCCTGCAATATCTCATTTGTATTTATAACTTGTCATAAAATGGGTAAAGGGAATCATAGAAGGAAGCCTGCCCCCTTTGGACCACTTTTCTTGTCTCCCAGGCTTTTGTCTCCACAGCTCTTCCTGTGAAACCTGTTTCCATGAACCACCACACTGAAGACCATTCAAGGGAAGTTCTCAGCTTTCTTTGCTATGAAGGATGACTAAACTAAGACTTGAGCATACTTAAAGACTTTTTTATCAAAGTCACCTTAACCAAGTGATCAAAATTAACATCACCAGTGTATACCTATATAAATACATGATTGGATAAACTAATAAATGGGAAAGAGACAAATCTCCCATAGAAGAATTCCAAATAATTTATGTAATTACTCTGCCCTCAAGGAGTGGGGAGCATGGCTCCCCACAACTTAGATGTGTATAATGACTTCCTTTCAAAGAGGAAGGTATGGAAAGGGAGAAGGTAATTTTATAGTGGAAAAACCTGACAAACACTACCTCCTGCCAGGTCACGACTGATGTCATGTTGATTATATGTGCCTTTGGTATGATGTGATGAAAATGAAAATTTATCTCTGTGGTCTTTATTTGAAAGAGAAGGGAGGCAGAGAGAGAGAGGGAGAGATATCCTCAGACCCCCCGCAGAGCCTGGAGCCCGACAGGATATGGGGCTAGACGAAGGGCTCCATCCAGGACACTAAGATCATGACCTGAGTCAAAACCAAGAGTTGAATGCCCAACTGACGGAGTCACCCAGGTGCCCTGATTTAGTTTTTAAGGATTTTAAGTAATCCCTACATCCAACATGGGGCTCGAACTCAGGCGCCCCTGTGGTCTTCCTTTAGACTTCTGTGTCAGACTTTAAAGCAAGAAATACGTGTTTTTTTTTTTTTTTTAAGTAAGCTCCACACTCAGCGTGGAGCCCAACTCAGGGCTCGAACTCACAACTGTGAGATCAAGACCTGAGCTGAGATCAAAAGTTGGATGCTCAACTGACTGAGCCACCCAGGTGCCCTAAGAAATATTATATGAATCTACTGAAATTTGGATTTTTATTCTTGTCCTTATTTTTTTTTTTAAAGATTTATTTATTTGAGATAGAGAATGAGATAGAGAGAGCACGAGAGGGGAGAGGGTCAGAGGGAGAAGCAGACTCCCCGCTGAGC